AGGGGGGGGGGTACTCATATTTTGCATACCTTTGTTGTTAGACCGTTGACCACGCGTCCTAGAGAACGACGAAAAGGGGGCGGGTACTCATGATTTGCGATCCTTAGCTGCTAGATCATTGACCAGTGGATGGGAGGGAGATGTACCGGGAGAAGGAGGTTTGGTAGGCCGGGGTCGTGCCCCCCTCCTGGCACCAAAACAATGGGGAAAAAAATATAAATATTGAGGAGGGGGGGTTGTCTGTGTTGGAAATAAGTCTCGTAGAGTATGGAAGCGACACCAACGAAAAAAAATGTCAGGGAGGCCAGATACATGTACCAGTATGCGACAATTACGGGGGGGAGGGCGAGAGGGGCAACGAGCGTGGTGCCTGTGCTTGAAGCCCTTTCGGAACGACGAGCCTGGCAAGCTGCTGCTGCGGCGGCTGCTGCTGCTGCTGCTCCGGGTGCATCTCCTTTCACACCTACACCACGCACCATTTTGTATTTAGCTCCAAGGGGTGGAAGTCCCGCACGCCGGAGGCCGCTTCGAAGGCTGTTCGATCTACACGAACTAAGTAAGTATATTCGGTATGTGTAGTAACTGTATGTTTGGTCTCTCCGTTCCCACCTACTCACCTTCTCGTAGTTGGCAGAGGTGGAGTCCTGCATGTTGAAGGCGGCCACGGTGGTGACGCCGTTCAGGGCTCCCCCGAGGATTACTCCAGCCTGCGCGCCCCCGTCCAGGCCGTCGGTGTCGCCGTAGCTGCCGTTCATCATCTGCATCTGGACAATGGCTGCTGTCGCCATCATGGGAATCAGAGCCAGCGCCAGGAGACCGATCTGATTTCGACCAAGGGGGGTGGAGTGTTGGTGTCGCTATTTGACGTTGTTTGGGTGTTGATAAGGCTTTCGTCATATAGGTGTGGCGACGGCGCGTATTGACCACGGCTTGGAGTAAACGGCACAAATGCTGTGAGCGCTAATTTGAAAGCGAAGACAAACACACACACAACCCACATACACGGAGAATGGAATAGTCTCCCCCATGCCGCCCCCTCACGGGGGCCCAACTGATGGCATTTAAAAGTGTTGTTGGTTTTCACCCACACTGAGACTGACGTCTTTTCATTGGTCAGCCGGTTAGCGCGGTCGATGCTAACAAAAAAAAAAAACACACACACACACATTTTTGTTTTCAACCGCGCTGAGACTGACGTCTTTTCACTGGTCAGCTGGTTAGCGCGATCGATGCTAACAATAAAAACACACACACACACACCTGCCAAGCCGAGGCAAGACCAATGACTACCCCGAGCAACAGCGTTACGACCAGCTGAGTCTTGTTCGCCACGTTAGTCCCCGTCGCGAATTGGACCTTTCTCACGTCGCACGGAAGAAATACACGGCGCGGACGAAGGCGTTTTCTCAGTGCCGGTTGACGCATCTTTCGACAGTTTCACTCGCCGCGAAGCGAAGCACCACGAGACAGGTAGGGTGGGTGCGGAAAAATCACCAGCCACGGATTGTAGAGAGAAATGCGCGTTTCGACCGTTACAGTCACCGCCAAGCAACAAGCCAGACCATCCACGATGATATCGCTTTGTAGAGAGAAAAAAAGCGGGCAATAAACGGGCGCTGTAGAAAAATCATTCGTCTTGTTGGATATGGTGGTTGGTTACCGAACCTGCCCTAAGCTAGCCATATTCTTTGTACATAACAGGAGGCGACGAAGCAAACTCGAAAAGAAGCACAAACGAACTGCTACTGCTGCTGCTCTGTCGGTTGCCCAAAAGAAACGCCCCAACTTCAGCATGTGAAGGCACACAAGCAACACGCGCCAAATAAGAACAGCAGGTCGTATCAATACGTACACGTAGCCACGATGTCGTGAGACCGCGGCCGCGACATTAAGGGGCCGAAAAACAGGTCCAACAGCAAATGGAGTTGTTCAACACGAGTCTGCCAAACAGCAGTGAGTGTTGCATCCTAATGTAGCCGGCGACAGATGAAACAAAACAACAAAAAAAGTAGTTCAAACAAAAAATAGGTATTGAGCACAAGCTTTGAAGTAATCTCGATCTCCGCGTCTTGCTCTTTTCCCGGTGAACGGCAGTACCTTGGCGGTGTCTTCCTCTAGCTGGGTAGTGAGGGCTCCAACCGCGTTCTCCTCCTTGTCGAACCACCCGATGTCGTGACGGAGAATCGCCCTGTTCAAATACATTTCGCCAACCAGAAAAACATAAGCGAGGAAGGGAAGCCGAGATGAATATCATCAGGTCAGTGGGAGTAAAATGGCTTGTGTTCCCAATCTTTGGTGTCTTGCTCAGAGAGAGAGACGAGCTGAACAGTCTAGCGCAGAGTTGAAAGGCAGAGAATTGATCGTCAATCTCGTCGTGGTCTTGGCATAAAAAAAAAGAAGATATCCACCTCCTGTTCAGTACCCCCCCCCCACCAACAACAACAACAGCAACGACGACGACGACGACCGCCCCACTCGCTTGGACCCCACCTCCCGCAGGCTCCCGCAGGCGGCGAGTCAGGCGCTCTTGTGGTCTTGGCATAAAAACAAAAAAAGCATCGACCTCCTGTCAAGCACCCCCACTCCCACCCCAACGACAACAACCGCCTCACTCACCTGAACCCAATCTCCCGCAGGCGGCGCGTCAGGCGCTCGCCCGCTACGGAGAACCCGTAGGCCATGGTGCAGTGTCCCACGATCGCCACCGCCGCCAGACCCACGAATCCGAGAGACCACTTTTCGCCGACACTCCGCACCTTGTTTTGGTTTGTTCATACCATCACAATTGGTGTTTCTTAAGCATTGTAACAGCGCGGTTACAGTTATCATCACGATTGGTAATGATTTTGCCGTTTCGTCACGAGAGGGAGAGAGAGCGGTTCATTGGTTGGACTGGACTGCGTTGGGTTGGGTTACGGATTAGATTCGACCGGATGTCGCTTGTTGTTCTTAAACGGCAGTCCCTCCACATTCCGATATACAACAATCCATCCCGTGAACGACGAGTTCCACGGCATATGGTGACTGGAAACCGAATAGCAGCCGTCCCTGCTTTAAGGACATTACCCTCTTGTAAAGGCTCCCGTTGTTTTCAGAAGCATGCGTAGCGTCCCGCTGAAATGCAAAAACATAGGGCCGGGAAAAACACTCTCACGTCCCCCCGCCTTCAAGACAACTATTTTTTAAAGGATCAATCAAGAGTGCTTGCTCTTCAAGAGGAGACGACTACTGTACACCCCTAGAGCACTTTTTCTTCTTTCTCACCTTGTCCGGATCGGAAGCGTAGAGGTTGTTCTGCATGTTGGCGATAAGAACGCCTTCGATGGGGAACAGGCTTCCGGCCATCTGATTGGCCGATCCGTGTCATACACATGGCGGGGGTGGGGGTCGCAAGACGTGTGGACCGTGTTAAGTAAAGCATCTGGCAAGGGGGCAGGGCACGAACAAAAACCTACAAGGAACAACCAACCGCGAGCCGTTCACAAAAAAACGGGAACGTTCTTGGACAACGGGGGAATGGGTTTGTAAGGGTGCTGTAAAACCGGCGCCGACACGAGTCGGTGTTTGACGTGTCTGTTAAGGACAACGCCAACACCGCAGAGCACACTTAGGTCGTGCGTGTTCCGCACGCGATCGTCGTGTACAATAGACGTTACCGGCCAGACAAGAGCAAACAAAGTCGATTTCGAAATATCGTTGCCACAAAAAAACACGGTCGATCCTGAGAGTATGAACGACGAGTTACCAAGGACGGGTACATGTGTTTCTCGCTACTACAGTACTACGGGAGACAGCAGTGACAGCAGCAGCAGCAGCAGCAGCACTCGCCAGGGCACCGATGAGTCCCAGGATGAGGTACCCCGCCTCGGGCTTGTTGAGCGCCCACATCCTCGACGACGGGGGGAGAGGGTACTTGACCTGCGACAAGGCCACACACACACAAAAACAACAGTCACGAAAAAAATATTTAGTCGAAAATCGCAAAAAAACATCACAGGTATCATAGCATACGCGGAGAACGAAATACATATTTAGTCGAGAAATCGCACAAAAATCAAAGGTACCTTGGAGAATACACATGAGAATGATAGTGGCTTCTGGAGCAACAATAGCACGCCAAAGGACATGCAGTGTTGTAGCACAACGCGGCCAGCAAGTGAGTGAGGGGGAGGGGGGACGTAAAGTTGACGATGCTTGACGAAGGAACTGCCGCTCCGCAAGACCTAGGCGCCGGGGTGTGTACGTGCGATGGCACGCACCTTCTCGGCAACCCTGTGGAAATCATCCCTCAGAAAGGCAAGCGACGCAGCAACGCGTACAATGAGCTCCTTTTTCTGTATGATCCTCCCCCTTCCCCGAAAAAACAACACGTTGCGTACACGCGGTTCGTGACTGCTGCGTCGTGGTGGTGGTAATGGTAACTTGCTCGTCAGGACAAAGACAACGCGCCAAACACGGCTAGGCATACGTACGGTTTTGATATTTTCAAGACCCCAACAAACCTCGTGGCGGTTATCTACTGCTGTAGCGACTTGCTCGTTTCAGCACAAAATAACCAACAGAACACGAGGGAAAAGGAAATCAAGACCCCCCATGTACGACATACTTTCTCGACCCCCGGTGGAGGTGGTCAACGTCATCCGTAGAAACGAAAAAACATCCGCCGAAGAAGTTCAGCGTCATCATCAGCTGCGCATGCAGTATAGGTTCAACGGTGGGTGAGGATGAGGGGAAGGCATTCACATCAGCCAATCACCACCGTAGTGGAAAGAAAAAAATTAACCGCTCTACGCATATCGTGTCGCACCTCATCGTCTTCCCCCTTTGCCTTGGCCTCGGTCCCGCCGTCGCCACCCTCTCCGCCGGGCTGCCCCTTGTGCATCACGGCCGAGCTCGACTGCCGCCGCATCTTGGCGCTCTCCACCGAGGCCGACTTCTGCCTCGCAGTCCTGGCAACGGCGCCTTCGGCCCCATCATCGCCGCCGGCGGTGGCAGCGGCGGAACCGTTGCCTCCTCCTGGTCCCTGGTTGTGTTGCGGTATTGGGNGGGGGGGGGGGGGGTTCATGTTTCTCATGCCTGAGATGTTCGACCATTGGCCACGCATCCTCGAGAGGACGGCGTGTTGTTCCTTCCCGCAGGACCGAATCACCGATGGCCAACCGCTTCTTCCTACATGGCCAAAGGTGCAAAAACTTTAGTGTTGGACATGATGTGACCGCGGGGAAGATGGCGTGCGAAAACAAATCTAGCGTACCACTCAACACACACATATGTGGTGAAAGTACTCCTAAACGAACTCGAGTACAAGGTAATAGCCTTGGTAGACGCGTGCAATTTTCTTCTGGTGCCACCGTTTGTCTTTGATCCGAAGGATAGTTTAGCCTCCCCCATGCTGCCCCCTCACAGGGTCCCAGTTCATGGCAGATACAAGCGTTTTGTGTTTTCTACCGCACTAAGACTGACGTCTTTTCTTTTCATTGGTCAGCCGGTTGGGGCGGTCGATGCTAATAATAAAGGCACACACACACACACACACACCTGCATGGCGCAGAGGGAAGTGTAGATGCCGTTCTTAGCCAGCAGCTCCGAGTGGGTGCCAAGCTCTGCGATGCCCCGCTCCGCGACGACGGCGATGCGATCGGCATCCTGGATGGTGGACAGCCGGTGAGCGATCACCACCGTGGTGTGCTTGTGGATCTTGTGCAGACGGTCAAGGGCCTGCTGAACCACCTGCTCGTTTTTTTTTTGAACGGGGCATCGCAAAGCGGAAGAGGGAAGGTGTGTATGTGAGAGCGAGTTTTCTTGATTTAGCATCGACAGCGCTAACCGGTTCACCAAATCAAACGTCAGTCTCGGTGGGGCTGAGTGTGTACGTATGCTGTTTCATCTATTTCGCTAGACGTGAGTTTTTTGCACGCCCTTTCCAGTCGGCATGATTTCTGAATGCGTCAGCGGGGGTCACGCAGGATGTGGTTTATTCCTCTTTCGAATGGGGCCTACATTTGCTCAGTTTTTTGCCCAAATTACTTGCTTAAGCGACCACGCACCTCAGGTGGACGGGGGACAAGCGCCCTATTGATCTTCGCGTGGGTACCATGGACTTGACGGTTCCATGTAGCGCACTATCCTTGACAAGGTAAGGTGGTCCGAGACAACAGCTTGATACGCATGAGGCGTACACCGCACGTCGGCACAAAAACAACCCGACAACGAAGACAACAACAAAACCACAACCACAGAGGTATGAACCCGGCTCACTTTCTCGCTCTCGCTGTCGAGTGCCGAGGTAGCCTCGTCCAGGAGTAAAATAGCAGGGTCCTTGATGATCGCTCGGGCGATGGCAATCCTCTGCAAAGCAACAGCAGTTCGCGACGTGCGAGCGTAAGCACGACATGATGACCATCATCATCAGCAGCAGCAGTAGCAGTGGAAACAGGGTGGAGATGAGCGATGGTTGATGCCGTCGTTTGGTCTCTCTCTTCGCCTTGCGAAATCGGGCACAAGCGGCAGCTTCCCGGTCGGTGCTTTTGCTAACAACAAACGCCGACCAGCTGCTGCTGACGCTGCTTTTATCACGTTCTCCTGACCACTTCATGTGGAGCTTACATGTGTTCAACAGCTGCAGCGCGATTGCTGTTGTCGCTTTACAGTAGCTTTCTGTCTGTCTAGCTGTCACCTGCTTCTGTCCCCCTGAGAGCTGGAGGCCGCCGGTCCCCACGTCCGTCGCGTACGCGCTCGGGAAGCTCTTGATGAACTGACGAAAAAAAAACGCCGAAATCGCAATACCCGCGCGTCACGCACAGCATCGCCACCATCACCACGCCGTCCCATCGACGAAGCGGAGTGAGCGAGCGCGAGGTTGGTTGCAACAGGGAGACAAGTCCGGGAGTCAGGCGGGGGTGTCGGTGGGACAGAGGCTGTCACAGCAGTAGCAGAGAAGAGATGGCCTAATTTACCGCACGGCCCGCCGTGTCTTGCAGGAAACATCAACCAAACATTTATTTCAGGTCGAGCCAGAAGTGTATTGATTTGCCAAAATACCACGAGGGGGAGGTGGGGGGGGGAATGTGGCATGTACATCTTTTTCTCTTCCAAAAAGCATGCTCGCCCCTCACGTTGTGTGCGTCGGCTGCCTTCCTCAGGCATCCAGACACTACGTCGCCACCGAACACCACGCAACGACCAACGAAGCCACCGATCAACACTACTAGCTTTGCAGGTGGGTGTGTGGGGGGCGCATGTTTCCACACGCATGTTTCCACAAAAGCACCCCGTCCTCTTGAGACATGCTCGCTCGCTCACGTCGTGTGCGTTGGCTGCCTTTGCAGCGGCCACGATCTCTTCGTCGGTAGCGTCAGGCTTTCCATGGGCGACGTTGTCACGGATCGTTCCGGCGAACAGCACGGGTTCCTGCGGGAAAAAAAAAAAAAAAGTGCACGACACGGTGGTGTGAGAGAAGAAAACGCAAGCGATGCCTGTAGCCTTCCTAGGGTTTTCGTACAAATATGAAGCAGACATAATGGATAAGCATGCAATCGGGGAAGATGGGTAAGGGTTAGAGATAGGGTCTGCGTGCCCCTCCCCTTATCTATTTCCTCAATACTTCATTTCTCGTGAAGGCGAATAGGGTCTGCGTGCACCTTCCCTCTATCTCTTCCCTCAATACTTCATTTCTCGTGAAGGCGAAAAGGGTCTGCGTGCACTTTCCTTTATCTATACTTTATTTCACTTGAAGGCAAATAGGGTCTAAGTGCCCCTTCCCCTATCTATTTCCTCAATAGTTCACTTCTCGCGAAGGATGTCCCACGATGCCGGCCACGACAATAACACGGGACGTGTGACACACAAGCTGCAAGGACCGAGACGAGCTTTACGCGTCCAGTACGTACGTGACGCAAGAGTCACGACAGTGAGTGTAGCCACAGTATTGCTGAACCCGTTCCTGTTCAAGACTCTCAAACGTTGGGGATGTCGTTTCTGCCCAAACAAACAACCATTGTACGCACATGACGCCCACAAGAGGCGGAGAGAAGGAGCTCTTTCGGAAGGTACACGGGAAAAAAAACACACACACACACACACACACACACACACACACACACACACACGCACGCACGCACGCACGCACACACACACACGCGCACACACAAGTTCATGACGCCCACTCTCGGGATCCCAGATCATGGCCTGCACAAGCACTTCAGCCGCACGGAGACTGACGAAGTTTCTCTGGTCAGCCAGTTAGTTAGCGCGGTCGATGCAAAAAAAAAAAAAATCACACAGAGATTAAAGCACCCAACCCAAGCACCTGTCCGACGTATCCGATCTTCCCCCGGTAGTACTGCACGTTCAGGCTCTTGACGTCGTGCCCGTCCAGGAAAAGGCTTCCCGAGGTCGGGTCGTAGAACCGAAGGAGGAGCTATTTTTGGTTCGGTTCATTTCGGTTCGGTTCGGTTCAGGGGAGAGAGAGGGAGAGCGAGAGCGAGAGCGAGAGCGAGAGAGAGAGCGAAGAAGAGAGAGAGAAAGAAAGAGAGAGAGAGACACATAACAGAGAAAGGGAGGAGTAAAGATGAACAGAAAAAAAAAAAGTGGGAAATACTTGCTGCCTCCGCTCATCGTGAAAACCGCGCTCGGAGGGCTTGGGCGTGGTGAACAGGCACTTCAACAAAGTAATCCAAACGGGGTGGGGGGACACCAACGAGAACTATTCGGACAACTCGCGAACGATCGGTTGAGAAAAAAGAGGAGTAACTGCTTCACGACGTCGCGGGGCAGCATGCCTCGTGTATCGCACTCCAGCATCGCTGAGAAAAACACGCGATTTGAGGGGAAATGCAGGGTGTTCAACTCGACAGGCAGCAGGGAGGAACAAAATCGACATCGCGGGGGAAACTAGGGCAAAGACGCAGGCACACACACGTGTAAGACGACGTCCTTCATTGCAACCAGCCGGCCAGCGCGATCGATGCCAGCAAAAAAACACAACACACAAACGCTCACATCCTGTCATTGTTGAGCCGGGTAGAGCGGTCGACAACAACAAGACAAACCACGCCCACGCAAGAGAGTCTTCTTCCCTCAAGTCTACCGGTGGTTTTTTGCCCTGGTGACGGATGACTTGCGGCAGTCGCACCGCGATGTGAACCAAAAAAAAAACGCAACAAACAACACGCACACGCACACGCACACAAGCAAAGAGCTTATTTTTCCTCAAGTCCACCGGCGGCTAGCTTTTGCTTGCCTTGGTTACGGTAGACTTTCCGCCGCCGGAGGGCCCGACCAGGGCAAGGGACTCCCCTGGGGAGACGCTGATTGACACCGAGTCCAGCACCTTCTCGTCCGGCCTGGTGGGGTAGGAGAACCCGACCTGCGTTTGCGGAGCGAAACACAAAAAACACGTTGTAGAAACTTTCCACCAAGTAAGTATGCATGGGCAAGCTTTTCTTGTTGGGGAGGGGTGAGGTAGGGTGAGCTTAAAACACCGTAGCCACAACACGCTTCAATACACGAGTTTGGCTCGTGTGCGACCAACAAGACACCGAGCGCCCTGTTTGTGGGTCGCCTGCAGAGGACATGTGTATCATCGCACGCCAGTGGCTGCAGTTTGTGGATGTCATCGGCCAAAGGCCCCTCTCTGATGGCACGCGTTGTGCACTGATCACACTCGACTCGGAGCAAGCGGCAGAAAAAACAAGCCACGTCCCAGAAAGGCAGCACAGGACCACACCTCGATTCACGCTTGCAGGCCGTGTGCAATCGAAACTGGACAATACGCTCTGTTTCTGGGACGCGAGCAGAGGGTATTTGTATGACCACACGCCACTGGCTGCTGTTTGTGGATGTCGTCGGCCAAAGGCCTCTCTATGGCATGCGTTTTTGACTGGTCGCGGGTGACACACGGAGCAAACACGCGGCGGAACAAGAAAAAAGTCCGAAAAGTCAACACCGCAACACACTTTGGTTCACGTTTGCAGGCCGTGTGCAATCAAAACTGGACAATACGCTCTGTTTCTGGTACGCGAGCAGAGGGTATGAGTATGACACACGCCATTGGCTGCAGTTTGTGGATGTCGACGGCTGAAGGCCTTTCTCTGGCATGTGTTTTGAACTGGTCACACATGCAGCAGGCGCAAAAACGGCTCTTTTCGGCCCAAAGACAAGAACGTCAGCAGAGCAATGTGGCAGGGTGGACGTTTTCGGTTCGTGTGCAGCCAACACGACGCAGAACGCCCTGAATTTTAGATACCTGCAGAGGGTTTGTGCATGGCCTCATGATGCTGGTCTCTGTTTGGCCAGCAGACGGTGTAGTTCCTCGTTCTGGCACGATCGGGGTGTGACCAGGGGGTACCCCCCCCATTTCTAACAGCGATATTCCAACAGGATCGCTGTTGGAAAATGGGCCAATTGTCTGACAGGCCGGCCGGAATCGCTGTTGGATTTCGCGCTGTTGGAAAATGCCATTTTCCTACCCGTAACACGCCCAAATGATATTTTTGGCTCAGAAAAGGACCCCCCCCAAATCCAATCCGGACATAATCAGACCGTAAGACACAGCCTAAGCAAAAGAAACAGTCAAGTGAAACGAAACAAACACATGCGACCAAAAGAGAGAAAAAAAAGTCGCACCAGCAACGTAGGGTCCCCGATCGTGCACACCTCCATGAACCGAGGCGACCTTCGACCTTGTGAGGTTCATGAAACCGAATCCCATAGAAAAAAAAAAACACCAGAAATGTAGGGTCCCCGCCGCCCGTACCTCCCTGAACTCGAGGCGACCTTCGACCTTGTCGGGCTTCGACCCCTCGGGACTGGCCGCGTCGATCGGGGGCACCCTTTCCAGGGTCTCGAACACCCGGTACCCGGCCTGCTTGGCCTGTCCAAGCGCCGTAGCTCCCGGGGCCATCTGTCCCAAGGACATGGCCCCGATGAGCACGCCGAAGATTGTGGTGATGACTTGGCCCTGTTTCGGGGAGGAGGAGGAGGTTGTTCGTAGATACGTACGCGTGTAGAGAGTTGCTTGTATGGTGAAAGCTTGTATAAGGCGTTAACGCGTTGTGCAGTATCATCAACGGACGTTATCCCCTCGCCCCCCGTTCCGAAGCTAACGAAAAACCGTCACTATTTACTGTGTACCCCCGTTTCAAATGACAAAACAAAACGTCAGCACTCTCCATGTATCCCCCGCTCCAACGACAACAACAGAAAACGCCCCAAGCTTTCGAAAGCCAACCCGCCCGTCCTTACCCCCGTCGCGCAGTCGCTTTGGCAGTCGCTTTCGATGTCGTCCGCCACGAGCTTTGTGCCGTACCAGAACGCGAGGGCGTAGCCGAGGAAGAAGCTCGCGAAGAGCGTAGCGGTGCCGACGCCCTTGTTCAGGCCTTACGAAACACACCGATGCATAGCGCCAAGTTGTATTTCGTAGGAACGGAGGACACACAACACGTGGAGAGAGAAAGAGACACGGACAGAGAGGTAGAGAGAGGTAGAGAGACGGAGACAGAGACAGAGACAGAGACCATCAGACAGAGACACGATACGTGGCAATACGCGCGTTTCATAGACGTGCGACAAGAATATCGGAATACTGTTTACAACGTATACCATGCACGCACACACAGCATGTACCATGGTATGCGCCAGGTACTTGATACCCGACAAACACATCGAAGTGCTACACCATACATGTGCACACAGTAGTCTACCATGGCATGCACTTGTAACCGGCGACGATACCCGACAAACACATCCAACGCTGCGTAAACGGCTATGTACCACGGTATGCACTTCTCACCGGCCTCGATAACCGACAAATACATCGAAACGTACCGCACGTACATGAAACGTACCATGGTCCGTACCACGGTATTGGTATTGATACCCGAAAAACACGTCGAACCCCTACATGCGTACACGGTGTGTACCACGGCATGCACTTTTCACCTGCCTTGATACTCGACAAACACCCCGAAATGCTACATACACGGTATGCACCACGGCATGCACCTCTCACCGGCCTCGATATCCGACAACCACACGGTACGTACAATAGAACTACAATACCATACAGCACTTCTCACCGGCCTTGATGCCCGCCTTCTCCGCCCCGTCGAGGTGCGCGGAGTACCTGTCCATCTCGTTCTCCTCCGCCGTGAGGGAGGCGACCGTCCTGATCGACGCGATAACCTCGTTCGCCACCCCTCCGGCCTTGGAGTAGTGGTTGTTCCCCTGTCCCGTAGCCTTGGCCACCACCGTCACCAGCACGAAGGTGGAGATGGCGATGAACGGGAAGCCTGGCGGGGGCGGCGGGAGGGGGTTGTTTGCACAGCGTCGCGGTGAGAAAGGGTGTGCTACCCATCCGTAGCATGCCTTAGTTAGTGGGGAGGGGGACGGGCGCGTTTCGATTTGTTGGAGGAAGACAAGGGGGGGGGGGGGG